TCTTTTGGCAGAATAATGAATTAAAGTTCATTAGCAATTGAAAACCTAATCAAAGAAACACTGTTAATATTCTTGAAAATTTAATATTAATCTTTTCATCCTTTTATGAATAATATTTTTTAAAATTAGATTTTATGATTAGACGTTTGAAATCGCAGCTCTGGAGTGCCGTGTTATAGTCTAGCTCTGAATTTGTTTAGTGCATTAATTAGATTAAAACGAATAAAATTAGCTAAATTATGGTTTTATTTTTAAATGAAAATGTATAATGATCATTTAATAAATATAAGTGTTAAGAATGGTTGTTAAAGAAACGCATTTCTTTATCGTGGAATTTTGAAAAGTTTGATGAGAAATATTACTGCAAATATTTTTATAAATGCTAATATTTCTCATCATTTATTTAATATGTTGTAATTGGAAATAAATATTCTTGTGAAAGCATTTCTTTTTCACTGAAATTTTATTTACACGATTTAGTAAGAATAAACTAAATATTAAATAGATAATGGATTGTTTATAGGATTTAAATATATATTTACAAATTTCAAAAATTATAAATGGTTTTGAGGAAATGTTTATTTTTCGGTGTCCCTGTGACTTATCTGCGGAATCTTGTGTTCTTGCGAAACACCTTCTCCGGAACAGCTTTTTAAGAAATTTTCTAGAGTCTATTCATCTATGTCAGTTACTGTTCAAAGATATTTATATATGACTATAACCATATGTATGATAGCTACGTAAAAACAGGGCAAAATATGTTTTGTATTTTATTTATAATATATCGTTTACTTAAAAAGGAAAACTACTTAAATGTGAAATGATTAGTTGAGGGGAAAGTAACAAAAAATATATTTATCTACAACATGATGTTCATAAGACAGAGAATGATACTAATACTAAAAAAAAGTGTTTTTTCACCTTTGATAAAGGTTACGACTTCTGATTTTCCACATATGTAATGCATGATTGCTAACTCTACCGCATTTTGTGGAAGATTTTATTTTTATGTTTAATGTGGTATAAATATTTGTAAGAATCGTGGTTGATCGTTTGCCTTCCAATAGGTAAATTCTCCCAATACTTGATCCTGAAGTTTCCTTGTCTTCTGGATTGGGTTCAAAATTACAAGGCTATGGCGTTGAGCATTGGTAGCCGTAAGCTCAAAATTGGGTCGGCTGTTCAACGGCGGTTTTAAAATAAGATATTTGTAAGTTCGTTGATGATTCTTGTTTCAATAAATTTCACTTGTATTGATTTTGACAACTACATTTTAATAGTTTAAATATACTTTTGTAGAGATACCTACTTGTTATTGCGTTGGTCAAATAATTGAACTTCTCACAATATCACTTCAATTGGAATAATAAAAGTATTTCCTGAAGGCAGTAATAATACTATTAAAGTTTTGAAACACATTAGACACTGGAAGCAATTAAGTAAAAATATCATATTTTTAAATGATTGCAATTTTAAGTTTTCATACGATATTAAAATTTATTATTTATTTTAGAATTCTTTAAATGCTGGAACGGACGAAACTGTTTTAAGGAAAATAGTACATAGATGTGAAAGATTACATGGTGAAAGGTAATTTTCTTTTAAATCTAATTATTGCTATGTATAATATAATGGTGTCATTCATTTTCTTGCATTACATTTTCCTTCGTTTTTATGCATTTTAAGAATTTATCTCAGAGTAAAGGACTCAAGACTGTCGTTTGTCTAAACACCAATATTTGTAGACATGTACATTTATTAATAAACTGTTTTTTTCTTTTAACAAACGCATGTATATTTTGTTTGATGTCTAAAATATGTATTCTATTAATAAATATCAGTATCATAAAATCTTAAAGTATCAGTACACAAAAACATCCATGCAATTAGGAAATTTAATATGATTTTCATTTCAACATTTTAAAATCTCTTATTATGTTTACAAACCTATATTTTACAAAATTTCTTTGAATTTATCTCTTGGAATCCATTCATGGTTGGTTTTTAGGACAATTATACCTACTAATGGAAATTCTAATATAAAACATAACAGCATTGAAAACTTTTAAGAAGTTTTCTTTCCACAACTAATGAAGAAGTAAGAATAGACTCAAAGATAAATCTGACTTTAGTGAATAAACAAAATAGGCAGGTTGGTCAGGTTAGAAAAGTTTTGCTCTTTTTAATATATAAAACAAATTTTTATTTCTGGATAATAAAGATAACTTATCAGGAATAAATTCTAAGCAAAAGATATTTAGATACTATTGAAATTCGTTTATATAGAATATGCACTTATAATATCTGCTTTGAAAACTTAAAATTTTGTTATTGCCAAGTGTTTTTTTACACATTGTTTTTGTGATATTGTATTCCATTTCTGCTGCAAACAATACTAAAATTTGTAAAATATATAAAATTGTCTTGCAAATTTTGATAAAAATTCAGCTTTTGATTTTTTAAATATTTTTGAATAAAAAATCTTATGTATTGTGACCTTTTGGCTTTCAAATAAAATGCTTAAAAAAGAAAGTATGACATCAATTAAAAGAATGACTTGTTCTAATATGTGTTCGGCTTATTTTAGCTTAAAATTTTGTGATTTTACCTTGCTTTGTATTTCGTGATGTTAAATTTTTATAAAATTTTTCATAATTTAGTGTCAGATAAAAATCCAGTGCTTTTATTTTTTCCGTTTGTAATCCCTTTTGAGTAGTAATCTATGATTGTAGCATTTCTGTCCATTGAGGTTTTAGCTGAATCTTAGCTTTTTTTTTCCACTTGCCTGGCTTGGTCCATTATACTTTTTATTTATCAATGCCTTCTTTTTTTTATTACCCATCGGAAATTTTTTTTCCCATTTGTTTTAATGTAATGCAGAGCAGCAAGCTTATTTGAAAACATTTTCAACTATCAATGAAATTTGTAAAATTTACCAGCAGTAAAATACATCAAAAAACTTTTTTAATTATATTCAAAAATATAACCTTACCCTCATGATTTATTGCTTAAACCAATTTGGGAATTCAGTCGTTTGTTACAAAAAAGAAACTAAATTAACAATTTTAAATCATCAAATTTTTATGGCGATGAATTCAGGGGACATACACATAGTTATTATTTTAAGCTAATGCAGTAGCAGATCTTTAGGGTGAACTTATAATTTCACAATTGATTAGTTTCTTTCATGTGATTTTATAGATTTCAATCATAAATGCAGTTAGTCATATCATAGAATTTTAACTAATCATTTGAGGGATCATCCACTAAAATAACTTGTGTACAGTCTTTTCAATTCGAGTTTGCTGACACCTTAATTTAGGATTATTTGATTAGGGAAATCTTGAACTCAATTAAAAACGCTAATTACATATTTTTATGCAGAAATATATAAATTCTACTGGTTCTTAAAGCAACAGAACTATAAAAATTTTCCATTTTCATGCATTGATTTGAAACTAGTAGTGATAAAATTATGCTGGATAGTCTTAAAACTTTATAAAAAAAATACGAAATTTTTATTTTTATTTTTTGGTAATAAAATTTGCAACAATACTTTCTTTAGTTTGACCTTTGCCTTTTTTAAAAGTGGGCTGGTATATGTGTACTCTTTCAAAAAAAGAAAATGATTGTGTTTTAATATTTTGAAAAATGTTTTTCGCCCATCTGGCTGATTTTCTTAGACCCACTCCGAAGCCCGCACATGTCATCTCCTGAATAATATGGCTTTATTCATGTCTAATGTGGTTGTTCATTTTCAGGACAATAAAGCTTACGATTTGGATGATAAACCACTAAAACCATCCTCTGATGATGATTTTAAACATTTGCTTTTTACTCTACCAGTTACAGTCATCTCAGGTAAAAATTAGTTGCAATTTATTTATGATTAACTATATTTACAATGTTTTGAACGTTTTATTTCCATATGCATATTCATATTTTTTTGATTAATGTGTTTTTAAACTCAAGCTACTGAAGATAAATTACTGTTACCAGTTTTCATACACTCGACTGCCAGTGAAAACACAGGAGCGACCACGAACTTAATTCAGCTTTTGCGATCAGCATTTGAAAAGTCCGGCGATTTTAATACTGCTCTCCCGGCTTCTCAAAAAACAGCAATAAATCAATTAGTGGTATCCGCTCATCGAATTTTATCACAGGTATAGCTCTGGTGGGGGAGTACTGTAGTGTGTCTACCACTATAAAAATGCAATTCCAATTCATTATTATATAAGATGTTTTAACTCGATTCTATGTCGGAGTTCTTTTTCGTAGATGAACGTTGACATTGTCGATAACTCCTTTCCCCACAGATGCCATAATGTGGTTATACTTTATTAAATTAAATTAACATGGTTTTCATTTATATATGTGGAAGTGTGAGTGGCATTTTTTAGTACACATTTTTTAGGTAGGCATTTTGTTGAACTGCTAATCGGGGATGAACTGTTAAGACCAGCTGAGTAATTTTTCGGCTTGACAAATGAAATAAAAATTGGTCAGTATTCATTAGCAAAACAATATTACTTTTTAAAAAATTAGGATATCTTGTCCGAAATCAAGGTATATACTTTTACACGTTTTTGATTATTTGTATAAAATTTAAAATCACTATTTTTCTCATCTTATGTTTTCTACTTTTTCTATTAATTAATGGGATAATTAATAGAATGGGATAATTAATAGTAATCGAAAAATTCCCAGATAAATAAAATGGAGGATTTGCATTCTGCTCTCCGATTATTTTGAATCTTAAGTTTTAAAAATCTATAATATTTTCTCCCTTTCTCTTTGTTTAAATTTTTAAAACATGCTGTAAAAACCTTAAAAAAATTCACCCTTTCATAAAATATTTAGTCTAATTTGAAGAAAAATTTTTGTTTCTGTATTTATGTTTACTTCTTTTTCTCCAGGAAAAGGAAAAATCTTCTGGTTTGAAAATTGAAATGGGAATTCAGAATTATTGATCAAAATGATTCAGAATAGAATTAACTATCCATAGAAACATTGATTGATTTCAGTAAGTATAATATTTATACAAGTTTTGTGAAACATTTCTCTTGTTTCATGATTAATTACAAGTATTTTTCCAAAAAACAAACCTATTTCTCGTGTCAAATTAACTGTATTAATATTTCGAGGAAAGAAAAATATAATTTTAATAAACAGAGTATTAATAATGCAAATTTATTACGCTTTAACATCTACTAATACAGGGTTTACATCTATTAATACAGGTACATCTATTAATACAGGTCTTTTTTAGAATTTCTTTTACTGACTAGAGTAGAGTTATAAAAATCTTAAAAGAAAAGCTTACCAGTGCTATTAAAAAAATATATTCTTCTGAATAATTAAAGTATTGTTATTAAAGATACGAATTATATATTAAAAATTACTTATTTTTAAAATTAAGCTTTAAAGAAAATAGATTCAAATGGAAATAGGTATAAAACTTACAGTATAAATTAACATATAAAAAATGTTTCGTATGGTGTAAGAAGGATTTTTTGTTTCTTCTAATATTGTAAATTTATTTGTTACAAAACAATTTGTAAATTTAATTAGCTAAGTAAATACAAAACCTAAATTAGATTTTCTTTTTAAAAACTATTCAACTATTATTTTTTTTAAATGTTAAAATTTTGTCAAGAATTATGAGTGAGAGAAAAGCACTTTATTGATGGATGATTTTGTTCATAGACCAAAATATGGAAATTAATTTAGATAACCTTGATCATAATATTTTATTTTCCTCCAGTCAAAAAAATGTACCGATAACAATGAAAAACTGCTACACTATTGTTATATTTCAATAAATATATTTAAATTTATAACACATAAATAACTGAAGACTGAAAAATAATGAGTTATTTTGTTCAAATACTATGTCCAAGATACTTTTGCTTGATACACATTGTTATCAATTAAATTTCATAGAAATGAATGATTTAAAATATTTTTTGTCATAATTATTTCTGAAAAATAACAATGAGGCATTTCTAAAACTGTCCACAAGATATTAAATGAATGGATTAATGCCGATTATATTTGATATCAAGTGATAATTGGTTTTTTTTTTCTAGAGGCTGATCCGTAAAACTATTTAACTTATCATGCTTGCGCTACAAGTATATCTTTCTACAGTATATCGAAAGGAAAAGATTGTCTCAGCATTGAAAGATTTAAGTAGAGATATCAAAATCAAGCTGGATTTTGGAGCAGTAAGTTTTCTTTCTTTTTAATAGAAATGTATATGTAAGTACTTAATTGAACATGAAATCCTTATATTGCAAATTTTTGATTAATTTAGACTCTCCTACAAATAGGAAATGTTTATTTGAAAAAATGAAGACTCTATGATTGACTATGGAAGTGTGGTATGTAGGCTTACAGCTCTTGCATAATGTTATTTTTTTAAATATAGATTTAAAACACTAATAAATTCTTTTTTTTTTTCAAATTTTATTTCAGCAAATTTTTAAAATGTCGTGTAATCCTAGTATTTATTTTTTAATATAAAATCTTAGATTCATACTATATTTTCAGGTATGATTAAATTTTTTAATATATATATTTTTTCTTTAAATTAAAACTCGTTTTAAATAATCGATTATGAATACAAATTTCGCAAAGTTTTCAGTCTTTAAATTTAAATACTTTTATATTTAAGAAGATTTAAGAAATTTTGGTTTGAAGTGATAAATTTCTACAAATGAAAGATTCTGCTGCCATACATAAAGTTTAATTTAAAATAAGAATTAAAACAATGAATAAAATTTTTTTTTTGCCTCCTCCACATTATTGTAATCCTTTTTTTAAAAGCATACACTAGAAACATTTGGCCCAGGTATTCACATATTTCTGTACTCCACTATTTGATCTGTACTCCACTATCTGTTAAAAGTCATTAGAACTCAAGAAATTTAATCTTTTGTTTCCATTTTTTCTTTTTCAAATCTAGAATTACAATTACTAAATTCATCTGATATAATTTGGTACGAAAAATAGGTTATTTCTAGGATTATTATTAATAGAGGTTCAATTTTTTTGACTGAGGGAGATTTATTGCGCTCATTTTTAATTATGATTTTCAAACATTNTAGAATTACAATTACTAAATTCATCTGATATAATTTGGTACGAAAAATAGGTTATTTCTAGGATTATTATTAATAGAGGTTCAATTTTTTTGACTGAGGGAGATTTTTTGAGCTCATTTTTAATTATGATTTTCAAACATTTTAATTTTATTTCTTCATTAGTACAATTTTTAAAAGAAATTGAATCTGTACTGTGAATTGTACAGCTTTATCAGCATGAATTATTTTTATTTTATTTCCTTTTCCTCTTATCTCTTTTTTAAATTTTTTTTCTTCGAATTTTACATCAAAGTCACTGATAGCTCTGCTGGTTTTAAATTATGTTTTAAGTCTGAATTATTTTTAGTTCTTTTAAAAAACTAGTATCTTTAGAAATTTTTCTAGTACTCACTTTCATTGAAGGTTGAATCAGTTGGTCTATTCATGGTGAAAAATAGCAAAAACATGAATGATACAAAAAAAGAAAAAAAAAGGTTTGAATCTTAGAAACAAATGTTAAAATTCAGAAAGTTGAAAAGAAATACGACTAACCAGAATAATGTCCATATTATACCAATATATTATGATAGTTTCTGTAATAGTGTAAAAATTGATTTTATTTAGCAGAACAAAATTTGTCGCTAAACTAGGTTCTACACTTTAACCTCTAAACTATTTAATAATCAGCAAGCCTAAAAAAAATCAAATTTTTTTAAATATGCTATATTAATTTATTTTATTATTAAATACTTTTTAATATATATTACTTTTTTAAAGGGTAATGTGTGTGTTTTCTTGATACTGGTTGAAACCTGTCTTAGTCATTACAAAATCATTGAAACATTACTTTAAAATTAGTTGATTTTGGTTGTTACAAATTTTAAATGTACATTGGTATGATGGAATAGTAAAAATTGAAACTGGTTTTTTTTAAGGTGTCAGTACCATAAAACGGTCTCAAACTTTACTTGTTCAGTACTTAACAAATAAAATTGAACTCTAAACTATTCAGACTTGTTCTGAGCAAAGCTATTCTAAAATTAAAACAAATATACTTATTATACATTATTTTTTATGTTATTATAACTATATGTTTTAATTTCTGATATTTATAAATATATTATTTTTTGTAAATATTTGCCTTTATTATACTTGAGTAAAGCAAGTTTTTATCTTGTCGTTTGCTCTTTTTAAGAGCCGTCTGGTACATGTATACTGTACCAAAAATTATCCTGTTTTATTTTATCAATTTATTTCTTGATGCATTCATTTTTTATTTTATGTATTTATTTTTTTACATTTTATCTTAGTTTTCTTTTGGCTGAGCCTGAAAAATAAACAAAAATCCTGTTTATAATAAGAAAGCAAGATTTTGTTTATGGTTAATTTTTCATGTCAACTTAGTTGAGGTTAATAGCCTTCCTTGTGAAATCCTCCTAATTAAACATATCCTGATAAATTTGAATATAGATTTACTACTTTTTAAAATTTTTTGTCTGTGATTTGGTGTTTATTTTTTCACATATGAACATTTCTCTTTTGGTAGATTTTATCAATTTGATAATCTAATCAAAGATGTCATCTACTCCTGACAATTTCAAGGAAGCCGCTGTTAGTTTTGATTCCTGAAAATTTACAACCATTTATATCGTAAGTATGACCAATTATATCAATAGTTTCAATTGTAGCTGCAACTTTTATCATTTAACATATGTTTTATTATAGGTTGTCTTTTTTGTGATTGTATAAAATGTTGTTTCATTAATTCTTATGTTTTGGATAAACGTGTGATAATGTGGATATGTTTGTTTGTACGTGTGATTATGTTTTGGATAAACGTGTGATTTGGATAAATCTTATGATAAACGGTTTCTCTTGAAAATAAAACAGTCCTTAATTCTAATGCAAATCAGTTTGGTTTTGATAATGTAAAAACTAAAATGGAATTAGAAATAATAGGAATGAGTTTAGGAATAGAAATAAGTTTGTTAGATTTTCAACTCTTTTCCATTTTTTGATTAGTTTGTTCATTCTTTTAATTGATTCTTGTAATAGGAACAATTGAAAGATAAGTTCTTAGTAGAAGTTTCTTAGTAAAAGAAAGGCATTTAGGCATTATAATTATAAGCCATAGATTTTCCAAAGCATTAATTTTTACATCAATCTAATCCTCAGTATTGTTTCTATTTTGGTTAACGGCTCAATGTTTATTGTTTTTATGGTAAAAATAAGCTTCTCTTACAGTTTCAAATCTTTTATCTTTTATTTATTGGTTAGCTCATTGTTTTAATTGACTCTTGCAAGCAAAACAATTGAAAGATAACTTTCTAAGAGAAGGAAAGGCAATTAGACATTATACATGTAAGTCTCAAATTTTCGAGAGCTTTACAGTTGACATCAAATTAATCCTTAGTATAATTTGATGTCATTTAGATGCACTGCCCAATATTTCTTGTTGCTAAGGTAAAAACAAGTTACTGTTAGTTTCAACTCTTAAAATTTTTTTTTGTTTCTTTTAATTTACTCTTGAAGTCAGAACTAATTAAAGATAAGTTTCTAGTGAAAGTTAGGCATTTAGAAAATCTAATTACAAGCCTCCGTTTTCTAAATCTTCAATGTTTACATCATTCTCATCAATAATATTGTTTCCATATAGGTCCACTGCATAATATTTCTTATTTTTGCAGTAAAAATAAGTCTCTTATAAATTTAGCTGTTCCCCATTTTTTTATTTGTTTATTCTTCGTTTTAATTGCTCTTGCAGTCAGAACATTTGAAGCACAAGTTACAAGGTGGAAAAATAATAGGTCTTTTGAGCAATATAATCTTAACCCTCAGATTTTCTAAGGCTTTAATTTTTTATACCAAAATAATCCTTAGTATTGTTTCCATATTGGTCCTTTGTACAATCTCACTTGTTTAGTAGAAATAAGTTTATGTTCGAGTTTCTACTCTTTTACATTTTTTGATTTGCTTGCTCATTCTCTTAATTGACTCTTGCAGTCAGAACTATTGAAAGATAAAGTTTCTAGGCTTTTAGTAATAAAGTAATATAATAAGGGCTCTTAAGCAGCATAGTTATAAGCCTCAAATTTTTTTAAAGCTTTAATTTTTAAATCGAATAAATTCTTAGTATTGTTTCCATATAGGTCTACTGCATAATGTTTTTGTTGTCAGAGTAAAAATAAGTTTCTGTAAGAGTTTACCTATTTTTTTAAAAATCTTTTTCATAATTTCATATCATATAAAATGATTTCTGTTCTAATTTTAGATAAAGTTTTAAATCTGAATCATGTTTAGTTCTTTTAAAAACTTTAATTATTTTTTTAGTATTCAGATTCTTTGGAGATAGAATGTTTTGATGGTAAAAATTTGCGAAAACATGAATGAAACAAAAAAAATGTTTGAATCTTTGACACAATAGTTGAAATTCAGAAAGTTGAAAAGGAAATGCGAAAATAATGTAGCCACAGATATTAACAGATCTGTAAAAGTTTAAAATTTTTTTTTACTTATATCAGAAAATAACATCAGTAGTAATGTCATATCAGCAAAACTGTAAAATATATGACTCTTAAGCAGAAGAGTATTTAAATGAAATTGGTTGTTACTGAAGGATTACTGACATCTGAAGACTCTTGAAATGATTAAATTTTGTTTTGAGCTTGGATATCATATCTGCCGCAATGTAACTCAATTAAGTAATGGAATTTCAAAACTTTTTTTCTATACGATAATAACTTTATTTGATCCACTCATATTTCTTAAATATTTTCATACAGATCTTAATTTTTTGAAGAATTATTGAAAGAAGAATTTACTCAATTTCACTTTGAACTGAGATTTTACTGATTATTACTTCCAAGTCATTCATTTCTTCCAAAAATGCTCTCAGCAGCTTATATAGCTTAGATACTTATTTCTAGTTTTATCCTGGAGTTTCCTTCTGATTTAGTGTATCCACCTTTAAGTAAATTTAAGTTAATTCAAACTAAATTTAAGTTAAATCAGTTTAACTTAAATTAATTAGTTTATTAGTTTAAATTTAAGTTAATTTAAACTTAAAGTAAATTTTTTCACAATGAAATTTTAAGTTAGCATTTTAAAAAAATGTCATTATAATGTAATAAATCAGATAGAATATTAAAAGGATAACAAAATTAAGTATTTTCATTGAAATTGTTAATTCTTTTATCCATATTTAACTATACTATTCACTTAATTCAAAGAAATTGGCAATTAAAAAAAATTAACTTATGATTATTATTGCATTGAAATAATTTTCATGAACAGTTGGTAATAGTTGATTCATGAATAATTGATAAATATCTAAATACCTCTCAGCCTCATTTTTTAAAGATTACCTGTATTAACTGTACGAGTTTCAGAGTTCTTCCTAAGTGTTTTTCAAACGGGGCTTGTCCTGCCTTTGTAAAACATTTTTAAAAAAAGTAATTCACTGTTTAAATAATAATTACACAATGGTAAAATTTGTATTTATACAAATATTTTTTTTGTTAGGATAGTTCTCAACTAGTTAAATTTTTAAATTAAGTTTTTCTTTTTTTTGGGGGGGGATATGTTAATAAATTTTTTAAGTGATTTTAAATATTAAAGTTTTTTTTAAAAAAAAATAAGTACACTTTTTCTTAAAATTCACATTTAAATTTTAGTTTTCTCATAATTTTCTGTTTAAATTATAGATCTCATTTACAGATTTTAAATTATAGCTTTCATGTCTATCAATAAATAATTTGAGTTCACTTCTTTTGAAAAAAATTTTTGTGCAGCTATTATTAATTTATATATATTATATTAATTATATATATTATATTACTAATTTATATATATTATATATTGTAGATTTGATAAAGTTTTTTTTTCCGTCTCATTTTGATAAATCTGTATGATAATTTAGTACTCTTTGCAAACTCAAAATGCCCTTTTCTATGAGGAAGCATCCTGCTTTTTTTATTCCTAGAGAGAACTCTACCAGTTTTACAACGGTAACATTTTTATCTAATAAATTCTTAAACATTTTAGATGTTATCAGAAAGTTTCTTTCATAAAGTTTTACGAAAATCATAGTAAGCTGGTGAATTATAATATGAAATTTCAATAATTTTTATAACACAGCACAAATTTCTTTGCAACACACTTTAGTGTCACCTTATGTTGGTTATAAAAAACATCTCTGTTGTTTTTTAGTAGTTAATGTTTAATATTACTAACTGCTTATTCTTTTTCAGACTACCCTCAACTATCTGATGTTTAATCGAGTTGATATTGATGATTCTTTGAAATTTCTATATGAGCAGTTGGATAGCAAGTAATATATTTCTTTTATTTCACTTTAATGCTTTTGTACAATATTTTGTTATCAATTATTAATATTTATTTAGTTAGATATTTGCAAAACAATAATTAAAATAAGTAAAAATTTGTTGAAAAAGTACAACATAATTTCATTTTTACTCATTGGTGACTTGGGCAAATTTGCACTATGTAATTCATAAAAAATTTCAGTTCAGTTTTATTGAATTATATTCAAGGAAAACAGTTCTTAACACAGAAAAGCAAACTGGTTTTAAAATCAAACTAGGTAGAGTCTACAGGTAAAAAGTTCCTCAAATGTTGTACCTCACGTAGAAAATTTTTTTAATTGATATTAATATGAGGATTTCCAATTTTTGTAACAAAATGATTCGAAATAAATAAATTAATGATTTTTAAATCAATTTAGAAATGTCACTTGTTCTCTTATAAATTTACTTTGATTTATAATTTAAGACTTCTGATATGATTTCTTTAAAAACTAAAATTAATCCACCAAATCTTATATAGCAAAATAAATTACAGTAAAAATCACAGAAAGTTAAAAATTACAGTATACCTCAAATTCGACATGGTTAAAAGATGCCAGTATTCTAAATTTTATTCTAAAATGCAAGAATATTAAAATTTAAAGAAATAAAATAATAAGGAAAAAATAGTAAGGAAGTAAAATGGTAAGGAAATAAAATAATGAGAAAATAAAATAATAAGGAAATGAAGTTTTTATTTTGTAGAAGTTTCTCTCTTAATAGTAACAATTTTAAGTATTTTTGTATGGTTGAATATGTTTGGTTATCAATTAGTTAATTTTAAATACTGTTGAATAAATCCATTTAATTTTATTCTTTGTTTAGTATGTATTTTTTCAAATAAACATAGCTTTTTTAATGGTAAAAACTGTAGTATTGTTATATTTTGCATTTAAGGAAGCATTTTTCATGTTATTTTTTATAGGGTCTCTTGATTACGTAGAGAAAGCGATGAGCTGTTTTTGAAAGAGAAAGTGCCACCTCTTTCACTAGAACTTGTGAACAATTTATGCCCTGACTCATTAATATACAGGTTAATATTTTTTGGAAATATCATTTTATGCTTTCGTGCATTTGTCGACAGTGAATGGAGATAATCCTCATTAGTTACTTAGAATAGTCTCAGTAAGGCATTTTAATTGTACTATTGACAGAAATTTTCAGTTTCTTCCTACACTTTTTACTTTTAACACAAAACAAGTACTTTGTTTTGGTCTTCAAGGCCTAATTGAAAGCCTTGCCATTTTGCAATTGAGAGATGATTCTCTATACACTAGTTTCAAAACTAAATAACTTGTATAAGAAAAAATGCTAATTGTTTTTAACTGATAACAGGTTTTTTAAAAAGGAGATAAAAAATTATAGCTTTAAAATTCCAATATGTAGAAATGCTAATTAAAATGTCTAAAATTTAAACACTTCTTTTTTCAATTTTAAAAATGTTCCGTAGCCAAAACACTTGCAGTTCAAGAATTTATTTAAAAATCGAAGATGCAGAAATTCATTTAGACTTAAAGGAATAAAACTATTTTTCTAAAGAGAAAATAAATTTTTTTTTCATTAACCTATAAACTGATACTATAAACCAAACTTACTGTGGCCTTTCAATAAAGGTTGTACTCCCCTAATCTAAATATTTTTTTTTCACGTTAAGTAATTTAATTAATGAAAACAAATTTCATGAAATAGCTTTCCAACACAAAAATATTTTATATTGATTGAATTTAAAATAGAAAAATTATTTAGTTGTATAATTTAAAAACAATTTTTTTAACCAATTTCTTTTTATTGTGGTTTCTTAAAGAAATTTGTCTTGTATTCTTTTAGACTTGTGTGTATTCGAGATGAGCTTATGGTTACCACTCTAGATGGTCATATTTGGTGGGTAAGATGGGATGCCAAATTAGATGAGGATTACACTCTAATTTTATGCAATGTCTCATTTCGCTTAGATGATCTGCAATCTAGAGGTAAGTTTTTCTTTGTAACAAGAATTTAAATTCAAAAGATTCTTACAATGTGCAAAGCATATTTATTCATTACCTTGTGCTCAATATACACTGAATTTTAGTCGGTTGACTTATATAAGCTAAACAAATCGGTGGTTGTCCAAAGAAAAATTAGAGAGGTAAAGAAGCATAAGTGAGGTCCTGTGCTCTTTTAAAGAGTGAAAAGGTTGAAAAAAGAACCTTTAGTAGAAACTTATTAAAGAGAGATAAAGTACAACCACCCAAAAAGAAGAAAAAAATTTAAAATAGGATCCTGGAGATCCTTAAAAAATGATATGAGTTTTTAAAATTTGCGTGTTGTAATAATATTAACTAATAACTAATAATATTTGAGTAAAAAAAATTATATGAAAATGGTTAAACAACAATAAAAAGCATGTTCAGATATCAATGTGGATTTAGGACGTAATTGTTCTAAACCGAATGATTAAAAGTGATACCTCAAATTCCAAATTCACGTGTCATAATAGTCACTTGTCATTGTATTAAAAGCATCAGCATTCATAAAGCTATGTGGAACAATGATAACTACAGAATATGGTGTGAATGTACAATAGAGTTGTTGAAAACTGTGCTCGTCAAAAAGGGATAACTCAAATTTGAAATTTGCTTATATTGAAATTTTTAGAATTTTTTTTAGCCATTACCATGTGTTTCAACAAACAAATGGTAATGGCTAAAAAAACATTATATAACCTACTGAAAAAATTATCAACAAGCAACTTAGATTTTTATGATGTAGTCGAAGTGAATCAAGCATATCAAAAAGAAATAACTCAAATTAAAAAAAAATTTGTGTTGTAGTAACCTCAAAATTTAAAAATTATGTTGAATTGTTCGAAAACGATAAAAAAATATTCGTATTTACGATGAAATCGTTGTGTAAGAAGTGCATTTAAAATGTGTTGAACCAAATTTGAAATCCTTTTTTTAATAAGATTGTATTGAAGACATTGGAAATTTAAAAATAAAAAAATATTAGAAACGACAGGAATTTACTATAGAACTGTTAAGAATTATGTATAAAATTAATAACTCAAATTTGCATATTGTCGTAACATGGTAAACATAATGGAATTCAATAAGAAAATAAGACAGATTTAGGAGGAAATTGTCTCTGATGAAGTGCGTCAAAAGTGCTAATTCAAATTAAAAAACTTTTTTGTCATAATAAAGTCAATTAAAAATATTGGAATTTGATGAAAAAAGAAAATATGTGGAAATGGTTGAAAAAACGATCGTAAGTGTTGCAAAATCGAAAACGGTGGAATTGTTTAAAACTAAACGCTTATAAAATGACTCATATTCAAAATTTGTGTGCTTTAGTAATACTGTATTAAAAATATTGAAATCTGAAAAACTATGTAGAAGTGCCTAAAAACGAGCAAAAAACCATATGGATTTTGAAAAAATTGGTGGAGATAAACCTTTTTAGTTAATTATTTTTTTTAAATTTATCAGGCAGGTAATCATAATTGAAGGTATTATTCAAAGTGCTAATAGGCGATAGAAACAATTATTTTTCTGTCTGATTCGAAGAAATGGGAAATTTAGTTTAAATGAAGAAAAGGGTAGATATTTAATTTGAATAAAGCTTAATGTTCTAACTTAGGAAATTCAAAATAACAAACTTTTTGTGGAAGCAGAAAGTGATTAATGAGCAGATTAATTTGAAAAACAAATAGTGTGGATACTAAGTTAAATGAAACTTAATATTTCTCTTAACCTTTATTAAAAATGATGAAATCATGGCAGAGAAGCAATAAAAAAACATTTAATCAAAGTTAAAGACTTTATTCAAAGAGTTAACAGTTGGTGTTTTTAACAAAAAACAAGTATTTTAGTGTAAATGAAGAAAGGAGAGTCGTTGTTGCTCCAGGGATAGAGTTTACTTCCCAATAATGTGACACAGGTACGAATACAAAGATAAATGGTACCAAAATTTAAATTATTGTTTTAAAATTTTGTAACTTTTTTTTATTTAAAAAAATGAATGTTAATCATTGTTTATTTATTTGATTAGCAAATATTACATAGCATATGAAAATTTTGGCTTTTCATTCATGATTTTCATGCTGTGCTGTGCAAACATTGCTTTGACATGGAACAAAATGTTAATAATTAATTTTAAATTCTTTTTTTTTTCTGTGATGAATGTCATACTTTTTTTTCCACTTTTATCCAACTTCAGTTGTCAGTCATTTAAAAAAGTCGATCAATCAAGGTTTTATTTTATTTATTTGCAATAGCATAGTGCAAAGAAAGGGGCCATTTTTACTGTGAGAGGCCACACTTAAATTAGGCATAGGTAAAAGAGGCCGCATGAGTTGATAAGCACATATTTTGAAATTGAATGCGACTTTTTTTGAAATTATTATAGTTTATCACTTTACATAGAAATTATGCAAAAAACATTAAGTCATTTCTTGAAATATAATTTACAGTTAAAAATAATCTTTTAATAAATAGCTACGTATGTTTGTGTATATGGCTGCAAGCATATACAGATAAATACAAAACCCCAACTCCACAACATAGAGCTGCTATTAGTTAGGAAAATAGTTACTGCCTGTCACTCAGAACAGCCGCCATCACAGTGTTAGTGTATTTTAGAGCCGTGACCAAAAAGATTTTCTGTTGTTGGCAAATTGGAAAGTGTGCCACAATAATTTTAGACTGAAAAATTGCTAGAACTACACCACAACTAATTCATGTCATGCTCAACAGATGGTAGCACATTATTTATTTCTATTATTTTTCAAATTGTTATAATCTATGTAATTAAATATCAATTAATAAAAGAGTCACCCAAGAAACTCATGGAGGCCTTCGTTTCTCCACCTTTTGTATAATATGTGTAGCACCGTTAAGTTCCTTACCATTTGACGATGTCATTTTACGAGCTATAACTACTGGCTTACCACAGTTTTAAAATTCATGTATGTGTTTAATTAAAACAATATAAATCATGTTAATGTTTAATTTTTTTGTGTAAACATTGTTCAAATTTTTGCATTGAAAATTGAGATGCTATCGTTTTTTTAATTAGTTACTTATTAAATTCTTTGCATTTTATTAATTTTTTTAACGTTTTGTTATGAATATATACCATAAATCTTACTTTAATTTTTCCATCCTCCATTTAAGGATCCAAATTTCATGATGCACAAATCCATATAAAAAATATGGAATATTCTCCCATCATTGGAGGGTTTTCAGTTGTACTATCAAATGGTCAAGCCTGTTCTATTACTGCTACTACATTGAAGTTTGAGCCTCATGTATGTAATGATTCCTTTTTGTTGTGTAAATTATTAAAAGTTTATGTACACATAAAAATTTATTGTATAAAATGTTTTGATAGTATTGAGTAAGAAAAAATATTTTCTTCACCTTATATTTATATGTTAATTTTAAGTTTTGAAAGTTCATAGCTCTTTCCTGGAGCAGAATTATATCTAATGTATTATAACAGAACTTTTGACAGTTGCAAATGTTTTGTGAGTATTGCCAAATATAAACGACTCTCATTAATTAAACCATTACCATTATTTTTAATGACCAATAATTTTCTTTCTTGCACCCTGAATTCTCAAAAAGAAGTCTTAATTAGTTATATATAAAATTATGTATGCATGCTTACTTAATGAAACAGAAATTGTTTACAAGAAAGAAGAAATGTTACAAAGAAATGTGAATAAATTGTATACTTAAATTGTAATTTATATTACAATTTATGTGAAGCATAATTTGTGCTGTGACATATATCATAGTTTTGTGCATTTCTGTTTTAGGAACCTAGAGTAAATAAGCAAAACTTGTAGTTTTATTCAATTTATGTAAAACTTTAATGTAGTTTTTTCTGATGTACATATATTCAAATAACTAATGATAAAAACAATATAGCTTAAAGAGGTTTTATCAATTGAATGCCTTTATTAAACCCCCAACATTTTTGACTTTGGTAGAATATTTTTTTCAGTGGCAGGGAATTAAAACAGAAGTATTTAAAATAGAATATTTATAAAACTTTTGAGAATAAAAAACAAAAGACATAAAATACGGAAATTCTGAAGTAGTCAAAGAATATGCTTTTATTTATGATATTCATTCAATCACACGTTTTTATAAATTCAAGAAAAATTTTATTGTTTTGAGTTTTTAAATTTGTTATCAATATCAAGCTTTTTTTATCTAATTATTTTTAAAATATGATATGGTTTTAAGTAGATTTTTTCCAGCAATTATTATTTATGATAAGAGTTTAGTTTTTTTTTCTTAGTAACTATTTTGCATTTCTTGCAGCAAGTTTTTGGAATCTTTGCTAATGATGTTCAGAATGCTACTTGTACAGCTGTGAATCATAGGTTTCGACTCAGTGCTTATGGGCAAACAAAGTATGTCTAATTTTTTTTTAATTATCTGCACTATCGATAGTGTTTTGTATTTTAATTGCTAAGTTTATTTATTATTAAGTTCAGAGTTATTAATGATTTTTCTTTTGAAATTTGAAATAACTGTTGTAACTTTTCTCATAAATTTCTTTGTGAGAATGAAATATGTGAGCCTTTGTATGGCTGTTTCTTTTCATCTTTTGCAAGAGTAAAATTATATTATTGCTAGTTTTTTTTTAATATATCAATTGTTTTTTTAACCTTTGCCTGTAATCTGTCAATTATTGTATGACAAGCAGGACAATATAGTAAAGAAAAATTAAAACAATATTCAAAGGAATTGTCAGTGCCATAAAATAGAAAATTTTTGAGAATATTAAAGCATATACTGAGGTACTCTTCAGTCATAGACATGTAGTGGTTGCAAAGAAAGCAGGTTTTTGCATAAACCAGTTCCATTTTATACTGATATGATGGTTTTGCGAGATCTATTATTTATTAAAAGATCCTGAAAAAACAAAATATATTCTCTGTTATGACTTAAATTGTTTTATTTGAATAAAAGGAATTACAATCTTATAAAAATTTTACTTGAATATCTTGTTAGAAAATTAGATTAAAGGCTATTTCTAGTTCTAAACAAATGAATAGAAATGATATTATTATGCAAATCTGTGACAGTTTTTTTCCTTGTACAAATATTTGTTTTTTGTTTAAAAGGGAATAAATTAATTGACAGAAAAATAAATAAATTTGATCTTTAATGTATGCTTGAATTGTCGTTCCTTTCATTTCCCAGTTCATGGAAAATCTAACTAATCATCGAATACTTTATCTCGAATCCCTTTATTTAATTAAATGTCATTAAACTATTTTTACCTAAAGATTGTAGTTAATTTTTTTATTAAATAGTGTTTGTTTTGATCGTTGTTTCCCTTAGAAGCATATTATTCTGAAAATTCTATTTTATGGACTTGTTGAGATTTTGAAAATACTCAACCATTATATTACATTTCTTATAGCAATGTGATTATTCATACTTCTTAATTTTTGTTATTTAAAATTTTTTTAAACTATGCTTTTCTTAATTATATGTTTTTTTAATGCAATTTCAGTTCTCAAGGGATAATTTTCTGCATTGACGATTTAACAGGTGCTCTACAATCCACACATCAATTAGTATTATCCAGTAAAGACTTTACTGGTAAACTAATCATTCTTATTATCTGTAATTTAAGTTTTTCGCACCTTTGTTGGTTCTGTTTGTTTGCTTTAATGAAAGGTTTCTAATGTATATAAATAGATGCTGAAACAGCTGCTGGAGCCATATCAAATTTGAAATGGACTCCTGATGGAGGAGCTCTTGCTATGACATGGGAAAAAGGTGGCTTTGCAATTTGGAGTGTGTTTGGTGCCTTACTGATGTGTAGTCTTGGTTGGGATTATGGGTAATTGATATTTCGAACATAATAATAAATAATTGCCTAATACTTACTGTAATTTATGGTATTAATTAATGTAATTAAAATTGGAGATGAAGGAACTTTTACTGTTGGAACAGTAATCTCAGGATATATATCAGTATTTTAGTGTGTGTAAAATTACCTTATACATTGGTCTCATTTTAATCCTTATAGTTATCTCAAACTAGCCTCAAAGTACGACTCAAGTTTTTAATTTTTATTAAACTGTATTTTTCTCCTGTTTTTGAAAATAAAGGCTTAAAATACAAATTTTTTGAATTTTTATTTATCAAAAATTATTTAAATATTGGCCATTAGCAGTATCTGTTACAGAAGCCTTTTTTTTATTCTTATTGTAAATAGAATTTAAATTAAACTAATTCTAATTTGCTTTTGTAACTTTAGCGGGTTTGTATGAAAACTATAATTGTGAGCATCATGAATTTCGATATATATTTTGTTAAAATGTTAGATATGTTGTTTAAAATTTTTTAATGATAAAAGGATATTATTTGACTAATTTAAAATTTGTGCTATACGTTTTTTTTTATTTTTTTTTATTTATTAATTTTTTTTCAAGAAATGTTTTACACTTTTTTAAAACAAAATTTTAAATTTTCCTATCATTAATACTGATTTTTTTCTATAAGTTACTTAAGTATAGTTTTTAAAAGTAATAAAGTTAAAAAAAAACAATAAGCTATTTATTTTACTGGGAAAAAAATTTTCACGTTAGATTTTTATAGAAAATAAGGATTTAGTTGGGAAAAAGGTATTTTATTGTACTTAAGCTAAAAAATTAATGGTATTTTGTCCTCATTTCCCTGTAATAATATTCATTTAGAAGTTATAAATTTTATAGCTTGCAAATCTTTCAAATTGTTATTTTAAAATTTCAAATAATATTGTAATTTTTTTGAATTTTACTGATTATTAATTTTTTTTACAGGAGTGGAAACCTGATGGTTATCAATTATGGGCATTATCAAGAAAGCAACCTAAATTAAAAGAAGAAAATCAGCCTCTTTCTACTGTAAAACACCCTAAAATCGATGTAGTTATTTTTCAGTTTGTGAAAAGTGTTAATGCTGGAAAAGTGTTAATGCTGGAAAACTGTTAATTCTGGAATGGTTTGTATACTTGATTTTTATAAGATTTAAGTGATAACTTGTAAATTATGTATTTTCTGCAGTATAGCTTGGATCCATGTATAAATCAAACCCAAATTTCAAATATTAAAGGGTGGGTTTTGTATGTATCGGATAATTAAAGTAAAATGACACAAAGATGTTTTGTATTGATACCTTTTTTATAAATAAATTTATATATAAAAACATTTTTTCTATTTCACTCTCTAACGAACATAATTATGTTCGTTTTTCTGATGAACTCTTGATGTTCTGTTTGTTTAAAGAGTTTAAATTAGACATGACTGCGTTGTTACTTTCTTATGTTTGTATTTATCTTATAGAATAGGTTAAACTTTTATTCTGTGCATCACAGACTTTTCAAAATTCTGTATGTGTCTTACTTCCAAAATGACATTGCAAGTTCAGGGTACAAAAAGTGAACTTATGCACCAGAAAAGGCTGTGTATGAATTATATAAAAGCATAACGTTTATATAAAAATTATCTTATTTGCCACCAACTTGACTGAATGGATCATGGTATATGACAATTAAGTCATTAAAAAAATTTTAGTCATATTTTTGATGAATTTTTGTTCTTATTTAGGCAACTATTTTCATAGTTTTTGGCTACTATTTTGTTCATTTTTTTCTGTGGCAACCCTGTAATGTAACTATAGGCGTATCAACAAATTGCGACTATTTAATAATAATGTGTTCCTTTGTAAATGTGGCTATGTAAAAACATTGCTACAAGTTAGCATGCATGATAACAATGATGAGAATTTTTTTAGGTGTTTTGCTTGAATAATATTAAGCAAACTGACTAGTAGCTAGGCAGATTAAAAAATCTAAAATAAAGTTAAATTCTCAATATAGTCACTTCCAATATTGGCTTAATATATTTCTGTAAAATAACAAATTAAAAAAAGCTTTTTAAAAAAAATTTAAATTACAAGTTTAGTAGAAGTCATGGCTGGGATAGCCTTGTTAGAAGGGCGCAGGACTCGCATTCACGAGAACAGAAGTTTGAATCCAGCCGACCAAAGACTCCTCGTGCAGTAAATGATAATTGGTGCACATTAAATGATAATTGGTGCACGAGTCACGAAGTCCTCCATGTTCTCATAACAAATTATGCCCCTGGGGGGAAGGGCTCAATTGGAGATTGATCGTTCTCTGGTTCTTTACAAAATTACGATCTGTGGATGAATGAATGGACGTATGAACGGGTGTGACGTATGGATGTGGCAGAAGTCGAATTCTTGGCTATAGATTGCGCCACTGCTAAGCAAGAACAATTGCACCCCTTTCCTTACTGGCCTACAACAGCAACTTGAAAGAAAGTAAAACAAAAGAGAAATAACACGGTCCGGTGTAATTCATGTTAAAGAAATTTGAAATATATGTTTTTATTATTGTTCTGATGTTAAAATGTAAGAGATAATACTGCTTTTTAAGAAAAATTATATTTCTTTAAATATTTCTAGATACCATATGGCTACCTTTCTAATAACTGGCCTATCAGAGTAAGTAAACTTCTTGATTTTATTGACATTACATTTCATTTTCTTTCCTTCAATGATTGAATAGTAATTCTTTACATTTATGTAAACCTTTAGTATAAATATTTTAATTGTGTTTGCAATTACAAAATTTTTTCTCATTTTTGCATTAATGATGTTTTTTCCCCTTATTATTTTAGTACACAGCTGTAGATTCACAAGGTCAGAGTATGGATGTTGCTGGTAGAAGTGGCTTAGCACATTATTCACTAGTACAGAGAAGGTGGAAATTGTTTGGAAATGAAACACAGGTAATTAAGGAGTTTGCTTTTAGATTACATATGATTAACAGACATTATTCAAGAAGTACTCTGCTTATAACATGAGTTAATGTTAAAATTTACATTGTTCTATTCTTTAGGAAAGAGATTTTGTTACTATGGGCGGATTACTATGGTGGGAAGATCAAATTATACTTGGCTGCTATAATCTACGTGACTTGAGAGATGAGGTGAATATAATTTTTTCTTATACCACAGTTTATATACCTTACAATTTAAATATATAATTGAAAGTTACTGAGAAAAGTTAGATTAGTTTGTGATATTTGTAGTGAAATATTCATGCATTGATGAGTATTAAAAGAATACAAATCCATTACTTATTTATATATATATATATATTTCAGAAACACTTACTTAATTTCAAGTAATTTTATAATTTTTTGTAAGATTTAAACCATTTAAAGTAAAATAAAATCTTTACGTTAAGGTATAATTTTTCTCAAAAAAGAAACTATTATATTCAAGTAATCTATTTTAATAAAATATAAATATGAAAAAAAGAATTTTAAACATAAAAACATATATTGTTTCTGGTAGTTATAAAAGAGAAAAAATGTCCTTTTTGAGTGGTACTTTTTGAAAAATTAAAAAAGTTTATGATTGTACTGTACTAAATAGTTTTTTGTTTTTTTGAAGAAATGACAATCAAGCATCTCAATTAATATGTGCTTTTGTCAAATCAATTAATGTGTTTATCCAATGTTTACTTTATTTGTGTACTTTTAAAAAATTTGTAAGTGATAAATTTGTACATTTATTAGATCCGTGTTTATCCGCAAGAAAGTAAACTTGACAACTTTAATTTTCTGCACTTGGTGATCGACTTCTGAGTTTTTGTGCTGATTCTCATTTGACTTTATTTTTGTTGCAAAGAAAAACATCACCAGCGAGTAAGATTTAGTTCTTTTATTGATTTGTAATATTTTTGAAAACATTGCAATTTAAAATATTTATAAAGTTATAATTGAACTTAAATATAAAATCCTAGCATTCTTATTTATAAGTATAAACTTACATTTTATCACTTTTATTTAAAGGACTTTTTTTTATTTACTGACAGTATTTTAAATCATTAACTGATACTACTGATGTGTATTTATTCTTGTTATGCCATTTCCGTTATTGAATGATTTTTGCCCCACACAAATTAAGATTGAGGTCCTTGGGGCAATACATTGATTCATCACATTTTTAAATTTCCCCAAAATTTGTTTCTTCAAACTGATTTACGTATAGTCCATTGTGCTTTTATTTAGCCAAAATTCCAATCTCCAGGACTTATAAAAGTACTTATCTGAAAATGATATGAATGGATAGTTTTTCTTAATAAATGTAACCTCTAAGAAAGTATGAGCTGTCTCTGAAATTGAACTCTTGCTGTAAATAACTAGTAAAACTTTTAAATGATTTGTAAAACGTTTTGTACTGCGTTTTATAATTATAATTGAATAATCATACTAATTTAAATTTACTGTTCTGGAAAAATGAAAAAAAGAGAATAAAAAGGAAATACAAAAAGTTTTAAAATTTTCCAATATTGTCATTAAATAAGTTTTCATTTTTGTGTTTTATTTTTTTAATTTGTTTTCATCTAAAATAGAAAACAGGAAAAATATTTTAGTTCAATTATTTAGTCATTTGCTTCATAAAGGTATTGTTTCCTTTTACATTTTGTCTTAAAATTTAGAATGAAGGTTTAAAAAGTAATTTCTCAATCACCAAATAGGAGTGCAATTTTTCCTAAATAGGAAATGTTTGTTTCTAATTTCTTTACATTTTATTTACTGAATGAATATTTTAATCTTTGTTTATAGGTTTCACCAAATAGGAGTGCAATTTTTCCTAAGTAGGAAATGTTTGTTTCTGATTTCTTTACATTTTATTTACTAAATGAATATTTTAATCTTTGTTTATAGGTTTACTTTGTTATGATCACAGAAAAATTATATTTTGAATAAGTGAGATATTTGTTTAAAAAAGTGATTAATGTTTAATTTTAGGTAGTGTGCTACAAGTCACTAGGCTCTTAGAACTTGATGTTTCAAATTTAGTGTTCCATCCCGCTTGTGTGATTTCTGCTATTTTAACTTCTTTATGTACAGAAACAGGTATTAATTGTATTCAGAAAAATTCCTTAATATATTGCTTAGAAGTTTATAGCTGCTAAGTTCCAATGAATGTCCATTATGTGGGCCTTGCATGTAATTGATTCTCAAATTTTAAAGCTTATTTTTTTAAAAAAATATTTTTTATCTTTATTTTAAGTGAGATGGCCACGAAAAGGAGATGAAAGTATACTGTTATACATATGTGGTCGATTGCTTTTACTACAGCAAGATCCTGTTGTTAAGACATCGGATATTACCAACAATAATACTCAGGTATGTTTATAACATTAAGTAAAAACATTTTCACAATTATCTATGTGTTGATAAGAGTATAAAATAAGAAAAAAAATGTAAATTTGGTGTATGATTCGAATACATACTTTAAATTGTTTTTTTTATAGTTTTGAATGGTGTTGATATTTTTCCATATAGTTATTGTAATGATGTTTTATTGATTTCTAATTACTTTTTGCATTAGCATTAATAGCACCATGCATTAATAGATCTACTTATTTTATTAAATATTTTATAGTCTTTGCGGACAAAATTATGGTGTTACCATAAGCGTATAAGTGGTGTTATGCGCAGTTCTTAGAGTATTATTGATTTTCTTAATTAACTGGTCACATTTATCAGAACATCAAGAATGAAAATTGTAGATGCTTCATGACTTGTTTTATATAAGCAAGGAAGAAAAAAAACTTATAGATAATATCCAAATTTAGTTTAATTTAGAAATGTGTGTATATCTTATTAGTGTCATCAAAACTTAAAAATTAGAAATTTTATATTTTTTCGTTTANAATTTTTATATTTTTTTGTCTAATTTTCAGTTTAATCAATAATTATTATTATTTATTGCACAAACATTTTGAACTATCAGGATATCGCTTTTATTTGTTAAACTCTGATTACTTGATCAAAAGTTATTTAGGTGATTTTATTTTGGTTAATTCAGCACCTTTTATTAGTTTATTTTTAACATTTTTAAATGTTATCAGTTGTGTTGTTTCTTATTTATTTTATTTTTATTTTAATCTTTTATGAGATGCATCAAACAACACTATAAATTTAGAACTTTAAAGAAATATAATCTAGCTTCAAACTTTTTATTCCTTTGGTTTACCATTGAAACTTTATTTTTCTGTCTGTATAAACTTAAGTGTTGTTGGTACTTTTTAATTACGCCGACACAGGCATTAAATCCATGTTTGCTAAAGTTACAAGGCACAAGTATACTTAACTGTCTTTTTTTTTCTTTTTAAATTTGTTTGAATTTACGATTTTCTCTCTTAGTTCTTTTGAAGCAGTTTTTTTTCCAGACAAATAAAACAGAATTTAATTGTGTGTACAAAAAGAGAAAGTACCATGCTGTTTACCAATAAATAATTATTTTTTTCTTTTTTTAAAAATTGAATAAAAGTTTTGCCTTAATTTTTTGACAGTTTTTATTTTCTTTTTGCATTATTTTCCATTTTAATGATTCATACTGAAAAAGTTCATTCAAAAATTTTCTTAATATTTAAATAATTTGGAAATTTAGTAAAATTTTATCATTACTGTAAGTAAAAGGTAATTGATATTTAAGTATTTAATAAAATCCATTAATCATTTAACGTTCAAGTAATATGTAATTTTAAAAGCTAGTGTATTATAATGCAATGTGATTAAAATATGAAGTAACCTTAAATGAAAAAAAATTATTAGGAAATATTTTATAATTTTTTATACTCTGAAATATATGTTAGGGATACAGATAGAAATAAGTTGAAAACAAAAAATCTGTGGACCGTGACTTAAAACTTACAAAATTTTTCTACAACTGAAACATGTTAAACACAAATATGAAATAAATAATAAATATATATTATTTTAAAACTAAACACTGAAAATGGTCAAATAATACTCTTTTCACACAAAAAACTTTGAAATCTAATTTAATTAAATTTTTTTTAATGAAAATAAAATTTTGTAAACTTCTGCTTTTAATTGCAAAATATTATACACATTATTTTCTCTATTAATTAAGACTAGTTGATAACGTCTTTAAGCACTGAGGCGTCTCTAAGCATTCAGTCATTATTTATTGATAAAGCTGAATTCTTGCATTTTTATTCTTAGATAAATGCCCCCTGAGAAGTTTCGCTTGAAATAACCACATATGAAAATGTTCTTGCTATACTATGCGTAATATGTCCAATAATATATGGGATGTTAAATCTGACTGAAAAAGATAGTAAGACTCAACTTTCTAAAAAATTATTGATATGAAATTATTTGGGATTCCTTGTCTGCATAATTTTTTATTTTAAATATTTCATAGTGTCTATATTTTATAAAACTGTTCGTATAACTTCCGAAAATTTTCTGAAAAATGTAAAATAATATATTTAATAGGTGAGGATCGGGAATTGAGTTCAGTTGATCTAGATTGCCTGAAATCACGGGTATTTGAATCCTCCTATCAGTCCATCACTTTAAAGTCTGTGGCAAATATAAAGAACTGCCATTTGTTTGCTGTTCAAGAAAATGCTGTAACAAAGGACCCTTCATTTGTTGTGCTACATCTCAAACTGTAATTATTTGTCAGTATGATGTGATGATGAAATTATTTTGCAGTAAAAAGGTAAATAATTATTTTATTTCAAACACAGTAAAATCTCTCTTTTGCAGTATATCCTTCTTAGATAGTTTTTAACATTTCACAAACAAAATGTACTACTAGCTAAAAGGAGTTTTGATAAATAAGATACATAATTTTTTTACCGCTGAAAAACAGACAAACATTGTAATATGACTTTGAAACGTTAGAATTATTACTTTAATATCAGTATTATAAAATTGTGTTGAGGAATACCTTCTTGCAAGTTTTGTTTTTTAAAATACAGTCGAACCTCTATTTAATAAAGTCGCTAAATCATGATAAATAGTTCCTTATATAGAAAATTCGTTAAATAGAAAATCTCCATCTGAAATACTTGAACAACGTAACACAAATTTTAAATTCATAAATACTAGGCATAATTAATTTAGAAATTGATACAACTTTATCTTGTAAATTATTATCTACTATTGAATTGTTTAAAATAATTTTAACATTTCATCATATGAAAGATTAGTGATTTCTTCATCATGTCTGTCTTCATCTTCGTCGTCTTCCTCACAATTTATTGCTGTTTTGTTTTTATTTTTCACACTGTCAAAAACATCCAATTCAGTTAATGTTTCTGTGGTTCTCTAAAAGTTAAGTGGCAGATGCAGCACTTTGATTACTTAGTTGCTACAATGTAAGTTTTTTACAGAAGCATTTAAATATTCACCCAAACATTCTGCAGAGATATGTGGCAGTGTGTCTGCAAAAGAACTATGAAGTGATAAATTTGCGTTCAAAAAAACTCTGAAGAAATTCTTGTATGAGGATTGCATAAAAATTGAAAAGTAATAAAATACTCTGCGTTATACTTATATGGAATGATATGCATATTTTAGCTGTTTGGTGTAGCCTTTTTTTATGTTTTAACTATGCAACTTGAAGCGACTACTCCCTTTCTTTTCAACTGTTCATGACATACAGATTTATTCTATCTTTTTTAAGTATAATTTCATGCTTCAAATTAAATTTAAACATACATTACATTTCTTGTTTTTAAATTAAATTTACCTTAAATTCACAAATTTAATCGATAATTTAAGTTTTGCTGTACATTCTGGATAAGTCCTATTTTTATAATGGTCCTCTTTTGCAGTATATNATTTTTTATCCGTCGGTGGGATAGCTCGTATTTTCATAATTCAGACGTCGCTGCTTCTTGTATTCTGGAGTGAAAGCAAACAAAAAAAGAGAAAAAAATAGAGGTTGATTTGCGGTGAAAATATTTATTTGCTCATTCAATTAATCTTGTAAAATTTTATTTATTACGTCTAAACAAAAAATACAAACAAGCCTTTTAGAAATCCCAAGTCCAGACTCTGCAAAGATCTCGATTTTTATTCACGCGATTTTAATATCAATCATCGATTTTCGTATTTACCTTATTTAAAAGTTGCGCATTGCAATTCTTAATTACGCTTTTTAAATATTGTACATTATGACTCATATTTACAAGATTTAAAAAACCAATATCGCGATTTGTATTTACGAGCTTTTAAAACCCTATGTAGCTACGCGAGCTTAAAATCCATTGTCGTGATTCGTTTTTGCGGTTGTAATATCGCACGATTTAAAAATTATGCATCGTGATTTGTATTTTCACATTTTTTAAATTCGATGTAGAGTTTCATATTCACGTGATTTAAAAGCCTCATATCGATATTTATAATCACATGGTTTACAAGTTTAAAAATCGCACTTTATTCGTCAAATTTTTGTTTATATGTATATATATTCTTGGATTTCCTCTTTTTTACTTTCTGACTACTCTCATCCCTGTTAATAGGCATTTCATACCTACTACCCTATTAACTCTTAAATTATAATTTTATCTTCTAATCCTCTTTTTTTTTAATCATAATATATTGGCGCTCAAAATTATCCGTTCTTTTTTTTTTCCTTCTCTAAAACATTTTAATTTGAATATCATTTTACACCTTGACACGATTTTTGATTAATAGCCAAATAATAGTTATTTTCTTTTGATTAGTGAGAATTGTTTTACCCACACATTTTAATGCAGTTTTAATCTGAGAAGCTATGGTAGGAAGCAGGTCAGTTTTTTTAAACGATTAATTCTTTAAAAAAAATAATAAACAAATAAATGCATTCGAGTAAAATTGGCCAACATCCGCATTTCATATTTTTTATCTATCACCTTTTATAGTAAATTAAATTATTCGAGAAATTAAAATTGAATTTCGCTGTTTTCGA